TCCCCCCCCCAATGTGTGGTTTTTTGGGGGTGGGTGGTTTGGGTTTTTTTTTTTTTTTTTGTTTAAAAAAAAGCAGGGGATAGAATGAAATTTTAGGGTTTTCCCAGTCTCTTAAAAATGTACCTGAAAAATACACCAAAGGCCCAGGACTGCAACAGTGCAATCTTGAACAAAGGGTGTGATTGTAGCATAAAGAGGGAAAAAAAAATATTGCAGTTTATTAGAAAGTGTTAATACTCCCTTATTCTAATAAGATATATGAACCAACGATCCAAGGTCAAGTCCTACAAAAATCGATGACTTACTGTGTATTTGCCTTTCTGACTGTTATTTAAAGACATACTAATGCATGGATGTATTAGCATGTAGACAACATACAAAAGGAAACTCATTTGGGCAGTCATGGTAGGAAGCGCCTTACCTGATAAAGGAGACCTTTATCACCTTAATCCTTAAAAGCAGATAACATTTAAAAAATGAGCGGTTTTTCCATTCTCATACTAAATGATAGATAACTTGGCTGCAGGGTTGAGTTCCTGGTGTTTGAAGAGTCCAAGAAGAAAATTCTTTGCTCTTTGTGGTTAAGAAACAGAGATAAGTTGACTGCTATCCCAGTATCTGAAGGCTCTTATTACCACTGAGATCAGTGGAAGAATATTTGGAGGCATACATTTCTAAATCTTTTGTGGAACTTTGAAAATGAAATTACCTAGATTTTGGAATGAGAAACTGATCTTAAGAGAGGATGTTTTTTACATTACTGTTGTTGGCTGTCCCAGGTGATCTCCTAGAACCACCAGCACTAACCATGTTCGTTTTGCTTGTTTGTAGCTGTTGTGACCACCACTACTTCCACTACAGTGGTTCATGCTCCCTATCCGCAACAACAGGGAGTGCCACCCAACTACCCAGTAGCCCCATATCAAGGATATCAGCCTGTGGCTGTCCAGCCACAACCGGGAATGCCGGTAGCGCCGTACCCTGCACAGTATCCTCCTCCTTACCCCATGCAGCCATCAGGGCCCCCAGCTTATCATGAAACAGTGGCAGGTAAGGCAATGCTGAGTGTTTCTTCATCTCTAAGTGGCTAAAGAGACCGTTGCATTGGAGTCAATCTTGTATTACTTACATTTATTAATTTCTGTGACTATATTAATGTAAATGTAAACAAATTATATAAAATGCAAGTGATGGTGGATGTTGTAATTCACCCTTGCTGAAGTTTCCCCATCACCACTTCTATATTAAGCATTGCGAGAGGAGATGTAGCTGGAGTTGTATTGGCAAAGTTTGGTGGTATGTGTGACTATCGGTGGATCCAGTAGAATGTTTTGCTAATTCATATGAAAAGCAAAATCCAATTAACATATGTATAGTAGTTGGGTGTTTCTACATACCCTTTCTAATCTAATATTTGCTAGATGTTTTAATCTATACACAGGTGGCATTTTCTAGTAGCTCGTCGCTATGTTTATAGAATAACAAGTCTCTGATCAACTTCAGACAAGTTTGCTGATGACTCGCAGTTACAATTATCGGAATCTTTTTTTCTTCTGCTTTACTTCTTTCACAGCATTGTTTTCATGCAGCTTTATTGTCGCTATTACTAATTCCCACTTCTGCTGGTACTAGCTGTTCTCTGAACAATTGGCTCCTGGCTGTTCGGAGAGGCCAAAACTAGGCTGTTATCTGTCCTAGGGTCTTCAAGCCTTCTTACAAACCACACTGTTAATCCTTCTAAGTAACAAGCAAAGTATAGTCCTGAATAGTAGATAATGCCCTTAGAAAGTAACTCTTTCATGACAACTCAAATATAGAATGCCTGTTCATGGTCTTAAGCATTTGTAAACCAGTTAGAAATTGTATATTAACCATGTGCAAACCAGCCCCACATGTAAAAACACTGACTTGGCAGGCCTGCTGACTTTATTTTTCTGTTGTAAACTCTGAAGCAGCTGTGGGTTTTATGGGATTACCCCAAAGTGCTTTGGCTTCATCTTTAGCATGTGAGAGCGCCAATAAACTAGACATTTTGCTTCTCCTACTCTGGTTTCTCAAACTGTTGCTGGTTTGTTAGTTCTGGAAATATTTTTTTTTTTCTGGGAAAATCTTGAAGCACTTCCTGTGTTGCCAGCTGAGAGCACCTCAAAGTGAGAGCTCTTTCCTTTATTTCTCTTGTCCGTTAACCAAGGGGAGGTCTCTTAATTAGGTCACACACAAGGGAGAGAATACTTGCTCTGTCACACAGGAGCCAAACCCACTCACTTTACAAGATCAGCAAAAGACAACCACACTTACACATTCCAGGGATCTGATCAGGTGCTGTGTTATTTGAACTAACTTGTGCTATTTGACAGACTGGAAAATGAAGATGCTGCTTGAGAGCAGCTTGTCTCAGAATACTAGAAAATAAGGATAACTTCTGAGTTATATACATCTAGTATATAAGTCAAACTCTTTAATGTGCTTGGTAGTGGTGGAATACTTTTTTCCCTTTTATTTTAATTTTTTAATTAACTCTGCGACACTTACCAGGAAAGCATTTTACCTGAAGGAATCCTAAGATGCTTTCTCTAGTCCTTTCTTCCCCTTTCTTCCCCCCCCCAGTGGTTTATTTTCACTTCTCAGCATACTATCAGGTATATCCAGTTGTTTGTCTCTGACTTCCGCTGGCTGTTTTTTGGACCAGATCAGTTCCTTTTTTTTTAGACTATGTTCTCCCCTGAAGGCTGACCATGTGCTCGTGGCTGCCATAATACACATGTACACTAAAGCATCCAAAAAAAAAAAAAAAAAAAAAAAAGTGCCAAACCACAAGAACAAAGGTTTTTGTGATCTTACTTCTGAAATGTGGATGCTTTGAGTTAGCACAAACTGTTCTCAAGTCCAATTAAGATGCTAGATAAGTTGAACCTCTTAACCGTGTGCTCAAAACAGAAGTTACCATTATAGATGTAGAATTTGGAATGTAAATTCTACAAATCTGTTTTTTTCTTTTGCAGCTGGTGCTGGAGCACCTTACCCAATCAGCCAGCCCCCTTACAACCCTGCTTATGTGGATCCTCAGAAGCCCACCTATTGAAAAGATCTTCTATTATGCTTCTGCATACAAAACTTTTTAAAGTATAATTTGTGCTCTTTACACCGTGCAGCTGTATTATATTTTTGTGGAAGACGGCAATCTTTTGTCTAAGTAAAGTGAAAGTTAATTCAGTATCTTTTTTTTTAAATGCTTTGAGTACAAGGAAGGAGTATTTTTCTTGCAGAAGTTGTTAATTTATACCTCAAGCAAATAGAAAAAAAGATTTTGTTCTATATATAATGAGAAAAACATGAAGAAGTAGTACTTCAGAAATAAGAACCACAATAACATTTGCTGTGCAATAATTTTGAAAGCAATGGTTATTATCAAACACCCAAAGCTGTAGCAATCTTTTGCACAGTATTAATACATAAAAACTTAATCTCTAAGAAACTACCTGATATATGTTATGTACATTCTGTCTGTTTTGAAGCTACTATTGTTAGGTAAGCTACAATGTAATACATTTCATTTACCATTCAAAAGGGAATTTTCTGTTTTGGAAACACATTTGCCTTCAGTAAGGGGTAGCAAATCATGTTTAATTGTCTTTAGACTAGTTGCATTTTTCTGTGCTAAATAACATGAGCTGATAATTTCCTGGTTTTCTTTCCCAATTTTAAGGCTTAAAACTGCCTTCATTGGGTGTTTTTCTCAGACCATTTTAATTTATAACTAGAAATTAACAACAAAACCAAACTCTCTGCCACTTAGTAGAACAAATAGATCAAAAGCTGAAAATGTGAAAAATCTTCATAAAAATTATTGGACAAGTATTTTTTGTCCAAGTATTATTGGACAAGCTTACTTAAGTCATATGTTGTTGATGAGTTTGGAAGAAAAATTAGCACCTTATTCATGTGTTAAGCAGAAGTACCTGCCAGTGTTCAGTCCTGCCTCATCATAGGGAAGGAATTTATTTTACAGGCGAGATAGGATGTCAGAAATAGATTGGGGTTTTTAAATGCTTAGGGTTTGTCACTGTCCACCTCTAGTGGGAACTGTAGATGGCAGGAACCTAGGAATGATAGATCTTTATAGACTCAGTCTGCATTTGTATACAGGGCGGGTGAAAAATCTCAGCCAAACACACAGTAGAGATGAAACCTCCCATTTGCCTTCAACATTCCCTTAAAGCTGAGCAGAGAACGAGAAGTCAGCGAAAGGAAGAGTGGTAGGATTTGGTCACAGCAAGGTAATGTATTTTTAAGAAGGTAGTTCTTGCAGTCATGAAACGTCTTGAGACATCCTCATCGCTATTACCAGTGTTTGCAAGGCTTTTGGCTCTATACAGCTTGTATTGATTGAACGAATCATGATTTTTTTAGTGTCCTCTACAATTCGGTCTTTTCTGACATTGAAATACAATTTGTTATTCCTCAGTAGAGCTATCTAGTCTATTGTATATATCACTGTGACATAATTAGTGAAATAATTTTGACATCTCATACACTGATTTTACTCTTTTAGAGAGGCCGTTAAACCATTGGTCCTCCAATTCTACATTTGGGGTATATTACTGTTTGAAAAACATTGATGGTGGCATTGTTTTACCTCACATGATGAATGGAAACTGCTGCTGTCAAGGGCAGCCTTATTTCTCTTCCTGATTTTTGAGTCTCTTTCTGGGTTATTCCAATCACTTTTTCAATAAAGTCTTCAGGGCATTTCAGAAGAAACTTGTAAGAAGTTTTTAGTGTTGGGATTCATGACAACCTATGCCCCTCTGTTATACCTCTATAAGAGTGTTGAAGTTAACAGCATGAAATGGTGCCAAGAGGCACTCACAGAGCATGTGTGCCCTGTATCTGTGTGTTCCTTCTCTTTCCTGCCTTGTAAGCTGAGAAATTGGACAATGCTTCGTGACGCTGTTAGTAGTTATGTGAGAACAACGAAAAATGGACAGTGTCTTCTATACGGAGGATGAAGCATTTCCCTAGAAATTTGGAATTTTTATGTGTGGCAGGGCACTGAATAACTGCAGAAATGATTCCTTTGGTATCGATCCTACCCCTGTGTGTTTATTCATACAGAAGGAGGGCAGAGACTATTCCAGTACCTTTGTTGACCAGGTGCTTGGATAGAGTCTGGCCAGTGAAATGCAGCCAGCAAGCACAGCTGCCCTGCAGCTCTCGGAGCACAGGTACAGCGTCCTAGGGTTCAACCTTCATGAGGTTTCTTCCTTTCCTCCATCTGGTGTGACAAAGAGTACAGTTCGTGGCAGTGTTAGTAGGGTTATGTTTTGGTTATGAAAGGAAAATCTGCAATTTCACGAGAAGTTGGCTCAGTCACCTGCTATCATCCCTAAGGAAAAGATAGTAGGAAAGTGGCAACAATAAGAGAGGTTACCAAATCTGAAGTTTTGGTGTAGATGTGTACAGACCAAATAAATTGCCCTGAACGCCACTGTATGTGGAGCGGTGGGAGGATATGAGGGATAGGGTTAAGGAGCCTGAAAATTTACACCTTGCCTTCAGTGAACATATGCTAATGATAACTATATACAAGTGAAGAGATGAATCGTTAATATTCAAGGAACTACTTTAGTAGTAGTATTACTACTTCAGTTACAAACTTGTTGAAAAAAGAGAAAATGGTCTACTTACCTCATTTCGTAATTGGAGCACATAATCAGATCTTTTCTTATTGTTACTGTATTAATCAACATTAACAATAAAGCGTAGGACCAAATTTTATTTAGTTGTTGCCATGCAACCTATTGAAACTTGTTTTCATATGGTTAAGAGAATGGGATGGTTATACAAAAGATGGAGAAGTTGATCCATAAACTTTTAATTTAAGCACTGCTGATGTGTCAGTCCAAGTAGCTTCATGTGAAACTAGTTATCCACAGTGCCGTAGGGGAGCGGGAATGGAATTAAAGTTTTAAATGTTGAAAAGAGTATATGTTAATTTTTTTTTTTAATTCTGTAAGTGCCTTTGTTTCAGAAATGTTTTGTGAAATTAAATACAGTAGAATATTCTGTTGTACTGAATTTACTAGATAATCATTGTTGACTTTATTACATACTGTAACCTAGCTTTGTATGTTGTTTGTAGTTTAAACATAAGTATTCAGAAGAAATGGCATAAACTCTATGCACCTTTGTAATAAATGCAGTGTTTGAATTATATTCTATCAATTTTGTTTTCTTAGCCTCAATTTGAGTATTATTTAGGAGTGTATTTGCAAAGTTACATTTTCACTTCGTTGTGTTTGACAGCTAGTGTTACCAAGTGTACTTTAAGTCATCTTGTATCATGAATATCACTTTTGGTAGTGGAGACTGAAGCCTAACTAAAATTACAGGTCACAACAGAAAGCAAGGCCAATATAAGCTCCTGAATTAAATTCTGACAGTATGCTTCAAAGCTAATCTAAAAGGATTGTTTCTAAGGCCTTGTCTAGCCGAAGGAGTAAATTAAATGTATGAAGTTTGAATGCACTAGCTAACAAATTCCAAGACATTTGAAAAGTCCAGTGTAGACAAGATGGTAGACTTCAAAGAAGTCTATCATTTGATTAAAGTTTAATATCTTCTCAACATGTATTTTGACTTGTGTGTTGAATATCATGCCTCATTTATCAACTTGACCAATTCAACGTGTGGTGAGTGATGCTTTCTACTCTGTGAAAACATTTTTGCTGATGTTTTTGTGTACTTTCAATAGTTTTGAAACAAATGCTTTTGAAAAGTTGTATTCATGCCCCTGACTCATTAGTCTTTCACTTGAAAATATTTTCTTTGAGTAGGTCAAGAATGCTTTTTATAAGACACCAAGTAGTACTGAATTGGTTGAGGGTGTTCAGTATATAATGATTATTACCCTGAATTGGCAGCTTAGTTCCAATGGGGGGCGGAAATGTCAAACCCCCCCTACTCCTCCAGACTTGTTCTAAAAGAGTTATCATGGATTAATCAGGTATTTTTGTAATGCTACTTCTTGAATTTGTTGGAGTTTCAGCTGCAGGCTGAAATGTGTTGCAGGTGAAATGTAGATCATTTCACTTCCAATTTTATTTCACATTTTCTCAACAGAACTTCTATTAGTTAACTGGGGACAGCAGACAAAATATATGCTCCTAAAAACCTAAATCTAGAAAACAATTATAATTAATGTTTGGGCTAGAAATTATACCAGGAAATTGCAGAGTTATTTCTGATATTTTTGTTGCCACTACTTTTTAGTTCGTCTGTTTTCCTTTTCCTCTGACTTTTTAGCAGGTGCATTTGTGCAATATGGCTGAATTGGAGAAGTGACATGCAGAGAAGCCTGTTGTTCAGAGAAAAGCTGTATGTCTTCCCTTCTTCTGCGCACAGGTCTGAGGAACAGGAGCTAGTGTTTTGTTTAAAACCTTCAGTTTTCCTTTAATGAGCAAATAGGGTTTCAAAGGTACCTTCACTCTCTAATATTGCAGCAAAATGTATGGGAGAGCAAACTGCTGAACTAAAAAGTTGAAAGCCCAGGGTGAGGTGAGGAATACTGCTGGTTATGTTTTTGTAATGTTTAATCAGCAGCTGTTCATGGTAGTGTTTTCTAGAACAAAACTTGGCGTGCATCTTAAAACCCATGGCAGGGTTGCATGGAGGAGCTGGACACAAAGGAGGGAAAAACTGTAGTAATTATTGCCAAACAAGCTATTCCCCACAACCCATCCACCTCGCCCCAAGTATGGAAACTTAGTATCATACCTAGGCATGTATGATAACTTGCCAGGTTTGCTTTAGCCAGTGGTTTGGGGCCTATTTTTCCCCCTGGTTACTATTTGATTTCATCTGCTTGTTCGTATAGCCTGCACTGCAGGAGCCTGGTCAGATTTACAGCTTTTAAGTAAGCCGTATAGGAGGGAAAAAAAGTACCTGAGTTAAACCTGTGTTAGAGGTGAGATAAAGCTGAATAAGTTATTTTATCCTTTTAAGAGCTCAGGCATGTGTATTGATGGAGTGGTCCCCTCTGCTTCACCTTTTTAAGGCAGTCTCCACTAAGGGCGAGTTAGC